GTACGACATTATGGTTTGAATGTTCCCCATACCTAAAAGTACACAAGCCCAGCAACTTGTTGACAGCTATCCAAAATCGCTGCCTGGAGCACTCCGCAGATGACTTCCAAACTCTCAAAATCCTGAAAAAGCCCTGAAACACCCAGGTTTTTTTTTATCAACCTGCTTCCTTTTTGGAGGTCCTTATGATACCTACTATACCTTTTCATGGAAACTACCATGTGTTGCTCTATATATATATGTATATATATATAAGTATCTTGTGGAAGCCTCCTGGGGGTCCCTTTGATAAGAACCCTATGATTCGGAGAGGTAGACAAGAAAGACCCGGATGGTGAGAAATGCTGATAGGAGGCATCTTACGAAAGTACCTAAACCCTAAACCCAAAAAGGAACCACCGCTCTGGGTTTAGAGTGGAGGGCATCTGAAATCGTTGGCCCAAATGCCGTGTGGGAAAGAGCCTAGACGCACTGCATGTAGGCAGTTAGGCCACAACTATGACACATCCAGACCATGTTTGCTGGTAAAATGTAGAAGCATTTTGCATATCCAGACATTCAGTCATCCTTTGGCTTGCCCTTTAGCATGTCCAACTTGTCTTCAGATATCTCAAATTTACGGCCTCGGCATGGATTGGAGGAGGAACAGTCAGCTCTGGAACAGGAATAAGCAGACTGCGGCTTAAGGGTAGGTAGGTACTGAGAAGTCACCTGGGTTGCTGTTAACGAACTTAAATTCAGATACTGTAATAAGGAAACCCTACTACTTACGCACTATGGTAACTTAATTTAAGTTCCTGAAAAGCAACCCAGTAGCTACAGTCCAAACCCCAAGCCCCAAAACCCTAAACCCGAAACTCTTTGTAGCCCAAGCTCCGCGATGCCTTGCAACAGCAATCCGACGAGGCCTTGCGGTATACTCTCGCGTGAAGAAGCCACATGGCAGTTGTTCAAAATACCTGTCTAAAACAACCTCCGCATGAAAGTACGGCCCGAAAGCCTAGAAGAAGCAGACAAAATGCCAAGATCCTCTCAACCTTATACCCAACAGGGTTTAGGGTTTAAACCCAAAGCCTTGAATCCTAAACCCTAAACCCTAAAACCCTTAAAGGGAGACCTAGCGCCCTAAACCCATGGCCTGTGGAAGAAGAGGTGCAGCAGCAGCTGTGGCTACCCAGCTGACATCCAGCGACGATGGGAGCTTAGAGCGGCAATAGGTTTGGATGTGGGGGATAATGGAAAAGAAAATGGAAAGTATAGGGATTATAGTCATAATATCGGGGTTATATAGGGATGATGGAAGATAACATGGAAGCCACTATTTAGTTTGGGGTGACCGTTTAGAGAGTAGCGAGGTTTCCCAGAACTAGGGGCCCATATCGGAAGTCCTGTTTGTGAGGGTTATTGCCACGGTCTATTGAAGTTCACGTCAAGGCCCCCTATTTGTAGCCATCCCCAAGGATGGTTACAGCCCTCGAAAAATTTCACAAGGCACAATGTATGTAACCCCTGTATAGGACCGAGACCATCTGCTTTTGACAGTCTAAACATAATCCCCTAACTCTTAAAGCCATAAGGAGCACCCCTATCATCTGCTGATAACACCTTCGCATGGTCAAGCGGTATCATCATTCCTGAGCAATGCATCCTTGGGCTTTTGCAAGGAAATGCAAGCCCCCCATGGGAAATTGGAGATTTTCAAAAATCGACCAGAGGATCATGCCTCGACTGTATCATCCGTACCACTGCTGGAAATTGACATCTTGTAGTCAAAGGGTTCCTGTAGGTATATGGTATATATTTAGGGTGGGCTCACTTATCCCTAGTTGAGGGCCCAGGTATAGACCACCTTGCGGGTAGACAGAGTCAGATGCCTCAATTGACAACATTTACAATGAAGACGTCTTCCAAGCATTGCGTTCCTGCGGGCGTTGGTCCTTTGAAATGCCAACGTCTGCAAATAACGATGCTCAGGGTTTGCAGTTTAGGGTTTCAGGTTTCGGGTTTGATGAGGGTTACGGAGATTCCGCGCTCACCCGCCTCCGCCTGACCACACTATTGGGGGGGGCCTTTGGGCAGGGCCAGGAACGCCTGACCATATATCTCTAGGTTTTAGGTCAATCCCCCGTATCGTAATAGCTCAGTAATTTGGAGTTAGTAGGGCCTTACCAATATACCTACAATAGGCCCTTGCGGTACCCGCCATGACTGTGTGGGGGATTGACGCACCCTAGGTTTGCTTGGGGCCTCAGTTTTGAGAAACTTCCATTCGCTTCGTGACTGCCATCTGGCATTTCTCAGACCGTAGGCCCTATAAAGCCCAACACCCACTAAACCCTGAAGACCCCAAAGCCCATATGAGCTATAGTAATTATATAGGGGATTATATAGGAGAGTATTAGAGGGATTATGAAGGGGATACTAGGAGTTTAGACTGTGTTCATGTGGCACACTACAGTATTCCCCCACCCTCCCTGCTTCTTCCTTCGAATGCCAAGATCAAAACCAGCATCATCGACTACCTCGTGTCGCAAGGCGCCGGACCAGACTAAAAGGTTAGAAGTATGGGCCCCCAAAGTGGGCCCTTAGCTCTGGTAGGGGGATTCTAGGTCCCCTTAAGGTGTACGTATAGGGCATATCGTAGGTGTATAAGGATCCTAGGGTGAAGGGCCCACATTAGGGGCGCATGGTTTCTTAGACAGAGGCTAGGGTTTAGGGTATCTGGGCCTCAACTGAGAAACCCCCATATGGTAGTTTCCCAAAAGGTGGACCATACTATAGACCCGAAAATGCTAAAACCCTCATTATGGGGGGCTCCCAAAAACGTACCCCATTTGTAGGAATGCTCCATATGGGCTGGAGAGAAAGCCTGCGGAATCAGTGTTGATGGTTCTGGTTGTTATCGGGCTTGCACGAATGTGACTTCAAGGCATTTCGAGAGATCTAGACCCCTTCATTATGGTTAAAGCAACCAATGCTGTTTGATGTACGGAAGGTAGGGAGAATCTCCGAAACTTGAGGTTACCGCAGATGGGCAGCCAATTTGCAGAACTGACAGTGGGTGTCTTTGGGCGCATTATGGGGGGCGGCACTGCCTTGTAGAGTGATGTTTACGATGCTTCGCAGTAGCAGCCATCCTTCCAGCGCGTTTACACCATGGCTCTCACGTTTCTTTGAATTGGTTGTGTTTAGGATGTTGGTCCCTCAAGCTTCAACCCGGACCCTGCACCTTGAACCGTACTGGGGTGTAGAGCGCAAAATACTGCATCATCTTCGTCTAGGCACAATTCGCAGACAGGACTTGCATAACCCCTCTGCACTTCTCAGCAAATCCTACAACTCCCGAAAGGTCAAAATCGGCCCTAAATCGGGACCCATGTACTCCCAAAACAATCCCTACATAGCCCAAGGGTCCTTAAATTTTGAGACAGCCCCATGTGCATCCATCAACATTGCTCGAGGCGGCTGGTCGACCATCCGAAAGGTTGGTGGCAACTTCGGGGTGAAGGCGCCGGCGCTTCTGTTGCTTTAGAAGGGGCTTTGGGATACCCTACTGACTTGTTGCATAACCAGGCATAGGTGAGAAGCATAAGGGAGAAGGGTGCCTGAGAGGACCCTAGGAACTCCTTTTTGGACTTCCGCGCGGTTTGCCTGAGCAAAAAAACCCTGTTACCACAATTCAGTGGACCCCGCCTTCTCCTAAGCACTCGTGCATTTCTCGTTCATTTCGTGGCTTCCTTTCTCTTCATCCCCCAAAATCTACGCAACATGTTCTGAGGCCATGTAAACCATTACATGGCCTCAACCCGAAGACCCTATAGACCTTCAACTCTCTGACCGACAGGCTGACTGGCTCGAAGAGCACTTCCACATGAGCCGAACCGCCGGTAAAGTCTTCGCATCGGCAGCATGGTTGCAACCGGTTGGGCTTAGAGCTTGGGGTTTAGGATTTGAGGTTGGATATTTACGACTCTAAAGTAGTCCCAGAATATTGCACTTGTCAAGCATCATGCCCCTTCGTATAAATGACTGCAATCGCTACAGTAGGTTGGGGCGCTATCCAAGCAATTGGAATCGGCATCTTTGGGGGGTCCCTGCATTTGGGTTCCTAGTGGCCCTGCTATATTTATAATGCCGGCCACCTTTTTGGGCACTTATAGTTCTAGCATACAAGTCTTCAGTTTCAAGGGTTGCTAATTTTCTAGTGTAAGACAGAGGCTATGAAGGGATTGTAGGGCTTATACCGTTTCAAGGATGCTGCAGCTTAGGTTGGGGTGAAGTGGATTCAGTGCGCGGGGTGGCTGACACTCATTCAGGGGCTACAGGTTCCCTGTAGCGTAGCGCTGAAGCTTGAGGTGAGAATTCAGGCTCATTCCATGGAGGTTGGGGATGGGTTCGCTGACAGCATTGAGCACCGTCAACCACCCAACTTCGTCGTTTTGACCATAGTAGTTTCCATGTTCTTTTCCATTATCCTATATTACCTTATATGAACCCTAACATATACACTATTATACTATAGTTTTTGTTCCTTCCAAAGCGGCTTCAGGAGAAGTTTCTACATGCGCGGCAGACCTTACATGACTACAAGCCTTGATTTCTTTGTAGGACCTCCCACTTGCGTGATAACATGATATGTGGGCAAGGGACAGGATGACTTCCCCTCTCTTCAGGATTAAGCCACCCCGCGAAACAGCCCGGCCTAGGAGACTGCGATGAAGGAGTCCGCCCCTCAGCTGTTCCCCTCAGATGTTGGCAGCAGGCCTTTGCAAGCCCATGAACTCTGCAAGTCATGGGTAGCATGTTCGGACACTGAAGGTACGAATCACAGATGAGAGTGAAGCGTGGAAAGAAGTCCTGGACCGGCGGCTTGCGCATCAAGCGCGAGAAGTGCTCCTGGCTTTCTTCACTAGGATCTATGGGATAAGGGCTCTGAGGGTATGTGATGAAGGGGGAAGGACTAAGTTTTTTGAGGGCCTGACTCGAATGTCGTCAAAAAAAGTCATGTCAAGAAATGATTGGGGGCAAAAGGCTTCGACGTCTTGTTGTTTCTGTGCCATCCACCAGAAGAAGCAGAAATCCCTCCATGTGTACCACAGCTACTGCAGGTGCGGCCTGGAAAGAAACACGCAATCCTACGCTCCTAAATGCCCCACATAGTTCCAATAGACTCCCTTGACAACTTCCAAATTTCGGAACAGCGCAGACGTCACGCATGAAACAGACTCCCAAAAGCTCAGCGGCTTCAGACCTCCACCCTTCTAAACCCTAAGCCCTAAAGTCTGAACCCATGGCAGGCACAAGAAGAAGATGCAGCAGATCAAGGAGAGATTCGTCAATCCAAGGGATTGGAACAAGAGGACCAGGATGCCAACGCCACATGGCCGCAGGGAGTTTGATTGATTCTAGGGTTTAGGGTTTAGGTTTAGGGGATTCGGTAACCCATGGTAACCCCAACCCTGTACTTGCAGTGTCCCAAATCCCTTCTTTATTCATCTGAGGCTGGAGCTATTTAAAGCAGTTCCACATATGCAAAGCCTTCAAAGCAGAGCTAGGAGTTTGCCCTCGAGGGTACGGGATTCCTTCACCTTAAACCCTAAACCCTTGCTTCTGGGGCGTTTCGGATCCCAAAGATGGACGCCCAGTTCAGGAATGCCTCAGAGTTCACTATTTAGGGTGACGGTGGCTGAAGCGTTAGGAATATTCGGTAGCTTTCAAGAATTAGGGTTTCATTCTGTGCCCCCAACATGCAGCAATCCCTATCTCAGGACTGACCACGAATTTCTAGAAGCCCCCATCTGTGTTTCTGCCAAGGTACAGAGACATCAAGCGTGGCATTGCCAAGCCACTCGAAGACTACCTGGGCAAGACCCATTTGTAGCCAGCCAGCTCACTGTAGCAACCAGAGCGCCACTTTTCGGAACGAGTTCTGATGCTGAAGGCAGAGAAACATACGCGTAACGTTCTCATAAATTCGTCCCATATATATACATATGTATACATCTTGTCGTCAGGACTTGTCTACTGTGGTATCTGTGTGTATATGGTACTGCGTAGAAGCCCGCATGCACCCTTCGTACATATGATCTGCACAGTGACACGTGTTCGTTTGTCGGATTGATTTTGGATTTTCGTTTGGATGGCTCATCTTGAGGATTGAGCGAGAATGCTTTTCAGATGGGTCGAGATTTGAATGTTAAAGGCATTGCCTATTGAATCCAACCTCGCTGAGACGAGGGTTGAAGGTTAGATAGAGATGCCAGGAAACGTTGTCTGAAGATCCTCAATCCATGAACCCTAAACCCTAAACCCTTGCCCTTTAGTCCAGGCCTCGATAGAACTCAATCGGTGAATTCAATTGACATGTGGGTCGGCGGAGATGGTGAGTTGAAGATGCTCGGAAAGCTTTCCCGATAATCTTCAATGTCATCGTGTGGAGCACCTGCAAACAGAATACCTACAGCACCACTTGGGTTAAGATCATATACACATTTTTTTTGTTCTGTGCTTGTCTGCTAGGTTTCTTGATTTTTCTTTCTCAAATAACTTGCTGGATCCGTGGGACTTGTAGGACGTAAATACAAGGCTTAAATATGGCTCTATATACACCTCCCTTGCCTCCGCCCACTCCGCTCCAGCTATCAAGTTGGATTGACGGTCAATCAGTCGGTTTGTCTTGAGCTTTGTCGTTCTTCTGGTTTATCAATCCTGCGATTTATCAATCTATGCAATGATCGTCGATCTTCTATTGAATTTATCTATCTCTTTTTATTGATGATATTCATTGAATCTATCTCTCCATCTATAAATCGCATTGGCAAAATATTTAAAAAAAGAAAATCTATCGGACTAATAATTTATTCAGCGATCTATCTCTCGGATTCTCAATTTATCGATTCTATGAATTCTCGAATATATTAATCTCTCGACGATATGAAATCTATCGATATATTATGGTTTAATATTATACTCATGAATTATCGATTATTCGTCTTCTTATTTGATCAGTTTATTGATATAAGAATTCAATTATCTATTTTTCTATTCATATATCGATTAAATCAAGTTATCTATGTTGATAAGAAATTATATACGAAAATTTTTCGTTATCTATTCGTATGATCTGATATATTCTGAACTATCTTCGTTCGATGAATTAAAATATTCCGTAAAATTAAATATTATAGAGATATTTTTTTCATTAGAATAATTCATTTCTCTCAAAAAATATTCTTCTTAGTTACGGCGAATTTTCAAAAATATATGATACATATGAATGAAGATATATATATATATTTCAATTCTAGGATTTGAATCTAGAATATAGAAATTTTATATATCTATCTTAGATTGATATAATTATCTTTTTCATACGATTTCTGATTATTCATATTTTAAATTCTAAACGTTGGATATTCTGATATATATGATATAGATGATACGATTAAATCCTTCTCTGCATTCTATTTATTATTGGAATCCCAATTATTATATAATTCGATATATATCTCTGATGATTTATCTATTTATCAAAATCTATATTCTGAATCTAATTCTTATATTTCATATTAATATTCTAATATTTTCAGAATATTTTCTATCTATTCATTCATTAGATGATCTTATAATTTATCAATATTTGGGAATATATTGATAATATTATTATCAACGAAATCTCATCCGTAGATTCATTACCATATTTTCTTTATCTATCAGATTGATAATCTATTAATCTATCTCTATATCTAGGAATCTGATAGATTATAAATCATCAATCGAATTATTAATAAATCTATTTTTCATCGATCTCTGAAAATATTGATATAATTTATTTTGAAAAAATCATTTTCTATTAGATATAATTTTAAATAGATAATTTGAATTAATAGAATTGATTAAGGAGGTATCTTATTAGATAAATCATTAATTTATATTTTCGAATGGAATTCTATCGATTTTTCATTTTGATTATTAATTATTCTAAAGAATCTACGATGGATAATTAAGGAGATTATCAATAATCTCCTCTTTCATTTCGATCTATTATATCTAATAATATTTGGAATCATTATTTTCTCTATATATTAGATATATTAAATTCAATTGATTTTTTTCATATCTTCAGCAAGAATTATACAATGGAATTTTTCATATTATGAATGATGATAATATAAATATATATTGATTTCATAAATAATCATATTTATATTGGATCGACTTCTGACGGGATTCTATATGAATAGAAGAAAGAATTTATATATATATATATTCTAAATATATAGAATCATATATATATATAGATAAGATTTTCATTTTTATATTTTCAATAGAATGAAAAGGAATATCGACCCTGCTCTAAAATCTTGAGATCTAAGATCATTTCTAGAGAAATAAATTTGATCCTATAATATATCGTATCAATTTGAAAATATATCTCGAATATATAATATACGAATTATTCTCGAATATTTTAAACATATTTCGGAAAAAGAAATGAAAAATTATATCTAAAATTGAATCTTCATTAATAAGAAGATCTTCTTCATAAAAATCAAGATTCTTCTAAATAATAGAAATAATAAATTCTCAATCAAATTTCTATAATAATTGAAGATCTCGATAAATCTTAGCAATGATTATAAAGAGATATTCTAGATTCGATTCTATTTTTTCTATTATTCTAAAATCAAAATAGAATGATATTAAATGAATAGAAAATTCAATCAATATTATAAGATATCTTTTCAATAAAAGAATTATGAGAAGATCTATTTTATTTTTTTTCTAGAAATATATATCATTTATATTATCTCTATTCTATATATAGAGAGAATCCGTCGATTCTATCGACGGATAGATCTAGATAAATAATAAAGAAATCTTGAATCTTCATAAAATCATCATTATATTTTCTCTTTGATCTATGCCGTAATTTTTCAGGATCTGCATATTGATATAATTTTATAAAACGCTCTTTCAATATTATTTGAGCAATATCCCTCTCCCTAAAATGATTTGATAACGAATATTGATCTCCTTATTTCAAATTCCTGGCAAGACTTCTTTCGCAGACTACGAATAATATCTTTCTCGCCCAATCTATAAAATGACCATCCCATCGTCATGGTGGCAATAGCGCTCCTCATAATAATAATTTCTGAGAATAATCTATTATCGAAAATCTCCTATCAATAATATCCTATTATCAATGCCCTGATAATATATAATCTCTCTATAAAGAATATCGTTCTGATAGTTCCCTGATAAGAATTCCCAGGCAATCTAGAGATAATTCTTCTGGCGATAATCTTCTGATATCAACATTCTTGATAATAATATTCTTAATAAGAAGATCCTGATAATAACGCCAAGAAAGAATATTCATTCCCTGATAATAACGTCATGATAATATTGGCTCTATCGAAATTGCCTTATCAATAATATTTGGAAAATCTTGATCCACGTGCCGATAATGATAATATATATCTCGATAAGATCATATCTACGAAGATTCTATTTTTGAGCCCTATCTACGATAATTCCCTATATAGCATCCTGAAAATTCCTGTCCCCATGGCAAGAGCCGTAGCAATCCTTGATTTTTCCTGACCCATGGCCCTCGGGCCAGCAACTCCAATATCCTCACGATAACGCCCCTATCCCCAATAATAATTCCCTGCTAATAATATCATGATAACGTTCGATTCTTGACCCGCTGAAAAAATCCTAGCAACGATCGCCATGCGACTTCATTCCTCAATTTCCTATCAAGATTCTACTCTAGATCTTCATTTCCGATAGCTGATTATATAACCAATCCCACCAATTTCCCTGCAATACCTGCCTGACAATACCTTGATTCTGACCGCCAAGCCAACAATTCCCTACGCAATTTTCTTCGAATTTCTCAAGATGCTCTGAATGCAAGCGCGATATTCTTCAAATTCTTCAAGGCGTTCCGCGCAAGAATACGATTTTCTTCAAAATAAGACGAGCTTGAAAATCGTATATTTATAGAATTGATATAGAAATCCTTGATATCATCCCCTATAATTGATCCAATTTAGCCGAAGTACGCAATTTTGATCAAATTTCCATAAAATAAATCGACGAAATTTCGAGGATATCTCGAATATGAAAATAATTTTAATATCGACGACATCGACGAATCTTATATCAATCTTCTATAATAATCTAATAAACACCCCAATTCCTCCAGATAACGTTCTGCCAACGCCCGACCCTTCCCCTTTCTATACCTAATATTGAAATTGAGATCTTTCAACGCCCGACCTAGAATTGAAGACCGAATCCTGCAGAATTCATTTATATTCGGTCTAGAGATATCAAAAGAAATATATCTTAAAATAAAGCGGTCAAGAGTTCATTTCTAAGTTGACAGTTAGATTCAAATAAGAAATCCCAGAATCAAATTATCTATATGATGAAATATTATATATTATCGAGATGAATTCTCTATTTATTTATATTTTTTATATGAAACCATAATCTTCAATAAATATATATATATCCGCATATTTCATGCCTTCTCAGAATTAATGATAAAAAATATTATAATCTCCTTGATAATATTTCTCAAAAATAATAAATAATCCAATTATAATTTTCTATTTCTTCTTATCATTCGGATAATATTCATAGCATTATTAGATAGAAAATAGATTTGATTTTCGTAGTTCATCCAATCAATTATAGACGAATATCCGTCCTATTATCAAATTATTTTTTCAAAATATATCAGATATGCGAATATCGTAATATATAATCTTATAAGAAAACGATCTCCAAATTTTGAAAATATTTCTAAAAATGATATAGAAATTTTCCAGAAAAATGATATTTGCATAAATTCATCATTTTCAATAGAAATAAATTCTATAAATAAAATCAAATATATATATATATATATTGAAAGATAGATCCAATAAACCATACGTATATAGAAGATATAAATATTTCGATTATATCATAAGATATATATATATTATTCTCAATGATCGACGATTCATCGTAAATAGAAAATTATATCTCCGAATCCGCAACGCCGCCGAATCGTTCCCCCCCGTCATATCATTTCCCCGTCCGTATACCTCCGGTATTCCTCAAATATCATTATGCCGCCGTATTGCTATCTGAGATAGATATTTTTATCAATCTTTATAAATCTGAAGAATTCGAATTATCTGATTTCAATCGGAAAGATCGAAAATAGATAGAGATATAGAGAGGCAAATCAACAGGAAATAGGTTTGGCAGAATAGGTCATTTGGCCGTGCATGGTGGTTTTGTTGCGAAAAATTCTAGCTTTATAGAATGGCTGATGTAGAGCCGGCAATTCTCAAAATTCCAGAATTTTCAATCCTAGCGAATTCCGCAAGTTCCTAGGCTTCTTGAGGAAAATCTTCAATAATTCCTGACCAAGAGGCCGGGAAGAGGAAAGGGGCCATCCGCACGGATTTACGAGAGAGCCAAAACGGGTCCTGGCCCGCATACTTTTATAGAAGCATGATGAAACCCAAATATGATTCGGAAAAAGAGTTCAATGATTTCAAGAAATTCTTTAAGCTATTCCTTGAAATTCCAAGCCTATAAATAACTCCTATTTTGGATCCCAGCGTCTATAAATGGTGCTTTGGTCATTTTGGGGTCCTTAGGGGTTGAGCGAGCTTTTTGACCTGAGCTAAGGTTACAGCCGCTGCTGGCACAACCTTAGTCGTGCACAAGGGCCGTCTGCAAAAGAGTTGTGCGTTCTTGCATCTTTACATGTCCAGTGCTACTTCTGTAAATGTAGCCTAAAAGCAACTCGAGCAGTAGGCTCAAAGCACTCCAACCTCATAATCGTGTTCTCATGTGTGAGCAAGCCTCGCAATGTAAGGAAGAAGGGATTCGGCTTTGAGGACTGAAGCATCGCAGCTAGTGGTGGCAGCTAGTGCCTGGAGCTTATGCAGCAGCAACCAGACTTGCCCTTGAAATTGGGCTTGGGTGGAGGACCCCAATGGCCTTGCAGCCTCATGCGCAAGACCAGTGAAGCATACGAGAGTTTGACTACACTACTACTCCCAAAGTGAGGTGGGCTAACTAATGCCGGATCCGCGTTCGGAGAGGAATCCAAAGTCAAGAATCTACAGCCTAAACTTTTGATGGTGAAGACCTTGCAGTTCAAGGCCTTGCCAAGTGATCACTGCAAACTGGACGATCCCAGCTATGCGTGTACCTGTAACTGACCTGTCGATTTCTTTTAGAACAGTCACAAAGATCTTCAATTACGTATTACGTGTGGCTGTTTTTTTGAAATAGGTAGAATGAACCTTTGAGTAGGCTACCGCCCTTTCCTTGTCATAAGTAGCTGACCTCTGCGTGGGCTTTCATTATGCGCCTGGGGTGCAGGTTTACCCTCTCCAAATGTAACATGGAACCCCACACAGCCATCTTTTCAAGTGACATTTTTCCATGTAGGCTCCCTTCTCAGGTGCCCTGTTAGTCTGGGGTAAGGTATTAGATCAAGTCCGGGACTAGATTGTCCCTAGGAATCACTGAAATATGGGGGTTTCCTGAAATTAGGGGTACCTTTTTAAGGGTCCCCATGAAAAGGATTACAATACATTGGGGCCTATATTGGGGTCCCCTTATTGTGGGAAACTTCCATATCTTCGTATGATGCAAGCTAGTCAGCTAGTCTCCGGGTACTGGTGGAGTTGCTTGAGATGTGGTTCTAAATCCCCAAATTGAAAAAAGATCCCAGGCCCAACCAAATCGTCCACTTCGATTGCCTTTCCCCTTGTAGGGGAACCCCATATTGTTATGAGCGCAAATGTCACGAAGTTGGGAAATTCAGACCTTAAGGTAAGCGGCCCCCAGCCACCCCAACACCCAGAGTAAGCTGCCAAATTTTCAGGACTGGGTTGGGCTACTACAGGGGCATTTTTTTGGGAGACTCTTCGTGCAACAGACTGCAGCTAAAAACACGAATTGCACTCACCTGACATGGGGAAGTGATATGAAGTGATCATAGAAACCACCATGCTGAAACATCCAGCTTGGTTCTCGTAAGCTGGCCGCTCGCCCCGCTGCCCAGCCACTTATTCCCGAAAAAATGGAGCTAGCTGAGCTTGCTACCCGCCCCCCAAACTAACCTGGAACCCCATGTGGCTCCCTTCTTTAAGGGCTGTAGTCTTGATGGCGCCCTTTGTGGGGTTCCATGTTAATTTGATAATCAGGAACCCAGAAATGAGCCTCAACATGAAGGACGCCTATAGAGAGCATGACCATCTTTCCAGAAATTTGGTAGATGCTACAGCCTCAAAATACCTAGCAGAGCCAACCGGAGCACCTACACCATGAACTCTTGGAGAGATTCGTTTGATGATGCCCCCTGGAAGTCCCGAGGCCAGACCTTATTCCTAAGTCGGGAATGCTTGAAGGGATCCCTATAGGGTAGTTTCCCTGTTTCCAGAGCATGAGTAAGTGTTGACCCCTACATAACCCTATAATCCCTATAACCCCCAACCCGTAATTTTGGGACAGTCTAAACTCTATAACCCCTACGTAAGACTATAATCCCTATAACTCCCCAAAAAAGGTACCCCCGCTGGGATCGATGCATCACGAAGCCATGGGTCTTCTTGATAGCTTCCCAGGCTGTGTGGGAGGTGGCCTCGTGGTCTGCCTCTGCAAGGTATACTTGGAAGCTCACGGGACTTAAAGTTGTTGATTAACTGGGCTTTTAAGCCTACTTATCATTGGGGTGACTCCCATAAACACGTATACATATATATATATATGTATATATATATATGTATACCGAGCCGTAAGCCCTGGACTCCTGGAGCTTCAACCAACCCGAAACCCAGAACACCCCCCTAACCGTACCACACAACCTAGCCCCAAACCCCAAACCATCCCAAAGCCTGTAAACCCCAAACCCTAACCTCAAACCCGAAATCCCAAACCATAACCTGAAACCCCAAACCCTAAACCCCAAACCCTAAGCCCCATCAGCTTCCTGCTCTCTGGCCTGGTCCGACGCCACAGCTGGCTGCACCTCTGCATTGGCCTTGCTTCCTCGGGAAACTCAACAACGCCACAACCAAGAAATGTAGGGGGATTTAGGATTTAGGGTTTAGTTAGGGTGGGGGCCTAACAGTTGGATCAGGCTTTTGCGTTAGATTAACGGCTTAACCTACAAGAAGTGTAAGGGTACGGGTACAATTTGGCTAGTTCTTCGGGCTTCTACATTCGGGCATTAGGGGGTGAGGCGAGGGGAGTGCTGACAGGAAAACAGACAACCACGGAAGCACCAATTGCAAACACTGACTGCACGCGCAGCGCAGCGATTTTGTGTTTAAACATCCTAGCTAAGAATATGCCACTTCTGGATCCTACTTGCATCGGGGATATCCCACTATCCCTTAGACAAGCACCTTCATGATCCACTATGCGCACGCAGCATTGGCACCAACACCTGTTTGTCAATCGGAAGCTCGAGAAGCACTGACAAAGTGCACATGTTGCCTTCTTCTTTTTCGCGGATCCGTGATTCGGATTTTGCCTACTCAAGCGACTTCCCTCCAGCCAATCCAAAGTAGGTTGGAGCTTGCTCCTCCCAGGAGCTTCCGCAATCGAAAGCCATGATACTGATCAAAACTTTGTCCGGCATGCTTGTCAGGACAATCTCGAGAAAAAGGGGTTCTGCAGAAGCTTCTCTGGGCTGGGACGGGAGATCCTGTCCCAAGTCAGCATCTTCACAACTAGATCGGCCGCGGCTTGATTGAAGGCTTCGTCAGGAAGAGCGAACTCTCCATAGCAACTCAAGGCAGCGACAGGCGTCATGGCTGATGAGCGCTGCCTCAAGGCGTCGTGAGCCTCAATTATGTCCTCGTCATAAACTGCGCCATCATCATCAACATCATAGCTCAGCATGTGGTCCACGTCCAACAGTAGCTCTGCAAAAACGATACCTGCACTGAACACATCCCGCCGTCGACCAAACCTCGTCGCACCATAGAGGCTCTGTCCGTCTTGTCGGCGCATCACTTCGGGGGCCACATAATGCGGGTTGCCGCGGTAGTTCAGCACCTCATCTAGCATGCACGTCGGCCCAAGGTCTTGGTCGATGAGTTCATGCCGTCGCACGGCTGACTCAAATCGATAAGTGTGAGCCGGCCAGTGGAGTCAACAATTGCGTTAGGCTTGCTGCCGCCCTTTATGTTGCAGTGAATGATTTCACGGTGCCAGAGGGCATTCAAAGCTGTCAAAAGCTGCTTCATGTAGCTGACGATGCCGTCTGGGTCTGTTGGATATACATTGGCGCCGAGATCAGGGAACACAAATGTCAAATGGCAACATTCATCCCAGAAATGTCCCAGAATCTGCACAATGTTGTTGAGACCCCCTCAATTCCTTATAGTACAGATTCAATTCATAGATCTGTTGGTCCTGGAGAGAGCAATGGGTTGGCATTGTGTTTTCCAAGTATTTCTTGAACACCATCGGCTTGCCTCTGCAGCGGCGGCGCTCCACTGAAACGCTCGCCTTCTGTGCAGCTGCCGCTCGTGTACTGCATCTTCGAAATCCGATGATGGAACTGGAGACTCTGGAACGTCTGTGCTAGGGCTTGCGGACACCCGGGGACTTGCGAGGCCACTCAAACTGTCCAGGGTTGACAGCAGCTCTTCACTCACAATGTTGGCTTTTGGCCCTCCGGATCCATGGGGTTGCACCTTAATCTTTTGATAAGGGTTGGCCCTCAAAGATGGCTGCAAACTGCGAACACGCTCAACTCCATAGGCCACATAACCGCTGGTGTCACCGGCCCCATGGACGTGAACTGTACAAGCAGTTCTGGCACTTCCCCCGCTTGCGGATGTCATTGCTGAAGACGTTGGGCCATGTCCCGGTCGGTCAGCATCAGCTCGTGCTGCCAATGCATCTTCAGACAGATGAGACGAAAACATGGCGCTCACGCTGAAGACGAGGACGCTAAGTGTGATCAAAAAAAGTACTGCGCGCAAGTGGCTCTTCACATAATGTGAGGAAAGCACATACACAGGCGCGCGCCTTTCGGCCATGATTACATGCCTCTCCTGGCTGAATGTTGTATCTAGCATCGTCAAACTTGGCATGAGCTCGCGCATGGTTCTGTGAGCAACATATGCTGATCTTCATGAACTTCGCAGCGTGCATGCACGTGCCCTGTTCACACTGCACATAGATACGACCCTGGCCAACCAATTGCTTTTGCCAGTTCCTTCCTGTTTAACAGCAGGAATATCAATGGCGGCCAACCTCTAAAACCTGGCACACAAGAAACATCAAGAAACGGTTTACATAAATGCAAGGTGCCCTCGGAGTAAAAATCGCAAAGAAGGACCGCATCGCCAGCAGCAACGGTTCTAACACGCAGAAGCAGCAACCACAATCCCAAACATTGCCACCCATTGCTCTCTCTAAAACTCTGAGGAGCCGGCCCTTGTGGGTGCTGGCCTCAGATCTAAAAGGGTATGAGGTTCAGGGTTTTGGGATTTGTGGTTGATGTCAACTTGTCATTGAATTGAAGGGTTCAGCATGCTTGACTTGTAGCGTTCGGTTCACGGCAGGGCTCCCTGTCCTGGTTCCTTGTTGGATGCTATATGAGAAATTCAACTTCATACTTCTCACTTGGATTTTAGTTTAATAAGTATGAAAACCAAATCCAACAGTGACCCAGTCTAAGCCCATATAGACCCTATTTCCCGTTCCCACCTTCAATCAGAATTTCCAGTTGATTCTCAATTTTCCGAATGTCAGGACCTTCATCCCAACAGCCTGAACACCTTAGGACGCAGACATGGAAACCCAGAACTGAAACCCACAGCCCGCAAACACCCTAATATGTCCGCTGAATTCTCGAAATCCGCCCCAACCCCCTCCCAAACTCTGAAATCCTGTAAGCCCTGATCGAGTAGGTCCCCAAAACATTTGAGTCATAATCTAAACTCCTGTATCCCCCTTCATGACCCCTATAGTACTCCCCTATTAAAATTCCGTACAACCCCTTTAAGCCTTTAAGGAGTTTCGACCCTAAACCCGAAACCCTAATCCCTAAACCCTATACAATCCCCTATAGGACTCCCTCTACCCTTTAAGGAGTCTAGACCCTAAACCCTAATCCCTAAACCCTATATAATCCCCTATATAACCCCCTTTAAAGGAGTTTAGAGCCTAAACCCTATATAATCCCCTTTTATGGCACATTTAGAAAGAACCCAAAGCCTGAGGAAAGTACCATGAGGTCGGAGAGGCGGCTGCCTTGGCTTAGGGTACTTAAAGGTTGAATAGGGTTTAGGGTTCAGGGTTCAGGGCTTAGGGTTTATAAGTACAGTTTGGGGCCTAGGATTTGGGGTTCAAGGTTGAGTGGATTCAGGGTGTTTTAGGGGATGTTGGTGGGTGTGGGAGACTTGGGAGATTCTAGGGGATTCTAGAAGATTCTAGGGGATTTCGGATTTGGGGGTTTAGGAGATTTAGGTCAAGCTGATTAGGAGTTCAGGATGCACGGGGTTTAGGGATTGAGGGGCTTCAGGGGTTCAGGAGATTTCATGTGCTTAGAGGATATGCACTGTGCGCTGTAGCGTAGAGGATTTAGATGTGCCTGCGGTTCGCACGGGGAGGGGGTTCAGGGGATTTAGGGGGCATCGTAATGCATCCATTTTCCTGCATCCGAATGAATAACCAGATGTTAGCACCCGTGATGGCCAGGCATCCATTCCCTTGCGTCCAAATGACCTATACGTTAACATCTGTGCTGTCATGGCATCCAGGATTCTTTCGTTTCCATGTTTAAACTCATGGTGCGGCAATGTGCTGTAACGAAGGCTAGGAACATTCCTGGCTAGCTCGTGATTTCAAGGCCCAAAAAACAAGAATGTGCAGCAGAATTTGGCCTTGAGCATGGATGTTTGGGAGGGCAAGCTGCGCCGCAACATGTCCAACAAATACCTCCCAAGTTGGCCTCAAATGCTGGAAAGCGCCGTCATGTGTGAACATCCCGTCGTTTTCGTCGCAGTCGTAGTGTTCGTCATGGTGGTGGTAGTGGTGGTAGTGGTAGTAGTAGCAGAAGCAGAAGCAGCTTTAGTAGTAGAAGAAATCGTAGGAGAAGCAGAAGAGGAAGGCAGTAGCAGTAGTGGTGGTCATAGTAGTAGGGGTAGTAGGAGGAAGCTGCCTTTTTCGCTGTTGCTGTCGCTGTTGTTGTCGCTGTTGTTGTCGCTGTTGCTGTCGCTGTTGTTGTCGCTGTTGTTGTTGTTGTTGTTGTTGTTGTTGCCGCCGCCGCCGCCGCCGCCGCCGCTGCAGGGTGCTAATTGCTGGCTGCCGGTTGCCGGTTGCTGGTTGTTGCAGCTCCCTCCAAAGAGGGCTAAATCCAAACACAGGGCTCCAGTCTTGGGGTACGATAGGGATTATCATGCCTTGGGATATTGGGCTGAGCGAGGACCCTGCTTGCGTAAATATGATGGGATTAAGAAGGCTTAGGAGAAAAAGGGGCTCAGACGGGCTGTTATAGTGTCTTGGCAGCAAGACGAGTGGATGGGTCACAAGATTCGCAATCTGCAAAAGAATGCTTTGCAATTGGCATCTAACTAGCTTTCACAATTAGGGCCCTGCTGTTGTTCCCCGAAATATTAAGTGTCCTACGACAGTGGGTATCCTCAAAAGGCCATGGTATCGGAAACGATCCATCTGCGGTATGGGGTCGGTTTGGCATCTGGGCTTCAACTTTAGCGCTAGCCTCCAGGCTGTAGTTGAGGCTGCCTTCAAGGGGCCCGCAATAGTTTCAGATAGTAGGGACCCCATAGAGACCCCAATGCATTAAGATCCTTATCATGGGGATCGCCAGAAAAAGGACCCCTAACTTTTCTCATACGGAAATGATTAAAGACTCTTGTTGGCCGCCCGAAGGTTCCCTTGGGTCCCATGTGGTCTCCAACTATCAGCCCCCCATGTATAAATTGTCCGTAAGGCTACCTTCATGTGGGTTTCATTTTCGTACCCTACTTTTTAGGTGCCGTAAAAGAATCTATAACTCCCAATAGGCCCATAATTTTGGGAACTACCCACATATCTGCGGATTTGCTCAAACGGCGGGCTCCAAAGACGGACAAATCAGCTTGGATCTGGGGCACAACTCGATGCCCAATGGTTATAGACTTGTAAAACCCCGCCTGCCCTAGCAACAAAATGTCCCATGATACTGTGGCTCCCTTTCTGTACTTTAATGGGGTATAGATGCTTTTTGATGCATTCTATTGGATTTGGTGGGGGGTTGATTACTTGATACAATTGCTTCCCAAGCCTGCAAGAGTGTTACATAGCAATACGTGGTTGGTGCCACCATGCCTCGCGCTTTTGGGTGAACATCCATGTCAAAATCATGAATAATGACATTCACCCCGCCTGCATACGGTCCCCAGAGCATCCATGCCAGAACCAAACTGACATCCACCCTGCCCCGCCTGCGGGCGCAGCATCCATACCAGAACCATAAGAACATCCACCCTGCCTGCACATGGTTTCTGAAAGCGTCCATCAGAACCATCACTACATCCACTTTGCCTGCGTGCGGTTGCCAGGGACATCCATACTCTCAGTCATCTTGCTTGCTGCGGCGGCATAGACGAACTCTCGAAGTGGCTCTATGAGTGACAACGCAGTGCGGCAGAAAAAACAATTTGAGCCAATGTTTTTGCAAAACCGAATAATCAGATCCTTCTTGTTGCGTTCTTCAGCAAGCCCTGAACTGCGGGCCCTGCCATCAACGCTGATGTATCCTTGTGCTGGTGCGTCTCCCCGCGGTGCGATTACGTCAGTACGAACCATTGTTCGGGCTCAGCACAAATAGGCGCCTAAGACTCCACCCCGTATACGCTCAAAAAGCCAATAAAACAGTGTAATCCGCCTCCTCCCCCAAAATAGATCCTAAATAAAGCCTAAGTAGGGTGATCGTCATTTTGGGGACGGGGGTACTGTTCTTTCTTCTACTGGCAGTTCTTGCTTGCAGAGACTCGAGGATCCCAGAATAAGAGGAGCCCAGGCAAATATTCTGCACCAAACAGGCCAAGATGCCGCGCCGTCCCGAAGGGAAGACGAAACTCTTGCCGATCAAGGCTTCAAGTGGCCTAATCTCAGGGCCATACCCATTTTGGAGCAAAAGGGAAGCCCTAGGAAGGTTTCTGGGGTTTTGCGTGCAGAGGTAACGATTTCGGGTGTTGGGAAACTGCAGTATGATACTACGTGAGGGTGTGCTATGATGAGTAGGTTAATGCTAAAGGACCCCAAAACCTAAGCTGTATCACAAGATATCATGAAATGTAGAGCTTTAATTTGTGAAGCTCTGCTCTGGGCGTATGTATGGTAGGATTACAGCACAAAACCCTGAAACTAAACCCTAAACCCAATCCATGACAAAAGCTACCCCAAGTCTTGCAGTCCTGACAGCTTGCCATCCCAATTTTATGGGCAGCCCAAAATCCCAAAAGCTTCCAAGTGTTTTATCGCGCATACTTAGCGCCCGACGGCCTTCCCACGTAGGTAGTTTGGGCCCTAAGTATGCACTATATAATAGCTTCGATTTTCTTTTCCATTAACCCTATTCAACCCCAATAATACCCTATAATCCCCATATTACCCCTATAACCCCCTTAGTTTCCAAATTCTTTTCCATTATCGCCATATAACGCCAATACATGGCCCCCTAGAAACTTTGGGACATAAGGCAGCTCTTCAGCTCGTTGTATAAGGCGATTCGTCTAGTCGTAGAGCCTCCAGCTGAAGGACAAAAGATCTATGCCAGTATCAAAACCATTGACACTCCCAAACGCTAAACCGTACAGTCTTCCATGTCGGACCTAGAGCCAGGAATCTATTTCATACTTCAGGCTGTGGTTTGGAATGCAGAAACTTTTTGCCATCCTTACAATCGCAGTTCAGCCTTGCCAAACTAAAGTTCCTCGTGAAGGCTTGGAAAACACCCCAGACACCATATCTGCAACTCCCATGTGGGCAGCTCTCAACCCTTTTCGTCACCGTTTGCGTCTGACACGGTACGGTCCTCATTATAGCACCCCATATTCAAGTAGGGTTTAGGGATTTAGGGTTGAGAAACCCACCCTTGACGAACCTCAATTGGCTGGAAACTGGAAGCCCTAATCGCGTGGGGCCCGATCGAGCGCCACGGCTTTAGGCAAGATTTTGCCAGGCGATCCTTGCTGTGGAACCTGAGCTTAGGCTTAAGACTTGATCTTCTAATACTATATAACTCATACTTTAAACTCCTAAACTCCCCCTCAATAACCTCTATAGTAGTCCCCCATATAACCCCCCTTGGAGGAGTTTAGATTATGGCTCAGATAGGGGCTCAGCAAGGGATTGGGGTCTGCAACACAGCAGGAAAAAGTCCCGCTGTCCCCTACGAGAAATGGACATCAACCTGGTATATGTTGTCAAAACTGCGCTTTTTCTGTGGGTCCCAATATAAGACGGCCAGCAATATGTAGTGCACCAAGAAAGAGACCCTACTTTTGTCTCTGCTCCACCCTCAATCCTAAACCCTGAACCCTAAATCCTAAACCCTAAACCCTTCGTAAACCCTGAAGGCCACTTGTATTTTCGAGCTTTCCTGTAGGAACCTGCGCCTGTCAGGTCAGGTTTCATCGTGACCCAAGTCAGAGTGGCTCTATAATTCTCCGTCCAGAGTTGAAGTTTTAGGGTTCAGGGTGTAGGGTTTAGGATGTAGGGTCTTTCTTCCCGTGAATGTCATGATGCGCAGGAAAGCTGTTTTTGATGTAGTCGGTTGCAAAAAAAAGAGGGCTCAGAGTCTGAAACTAAACGGGTGGCTGACAAGATCTGATTGCTACACACGCGGAATTTCCCTGCTGAGGCAGTTTGTGGAACATCAGCTGCAGCTTAGCATCGATAAAGCAAAGCCCTTAGCCCAAATGCTGCAACTCTCCCACAGCACTGGCCCCTAGCTAGGCAAGTCGCTTCATGGATAGAACTTCATTCTGTGGATTTCAGGAGCAACTGGGAATAGACCTGTCTATGGCACAAGCCCGCACTTCCAGAATTGGAGCAGTCCGTTCTTCGGTCGACTACATAAGGCTTGGATACGTGTTCCCTGGCCAAAGGGGTTCCAATGTAGTAGCTACAGCTTGTGAACTACTGGCAAAAATGTTTCAGGCTGACTTTTTTGTGCAGCCTCGTTCGCATTTCTGGATCCCAAGTTGCTTTGCCGGACTCGCACGACTCATGGCCCAAACTATATAACCTTTAACTCCGCAGCCACACCTTCAATGCTGAACCAAAAGACGCGCCCACCATCATCTTTTTCAATACGTGGCTGGCGGTAAGTATTCTTTGGGAGACTAAGCTTTTGCTTCCAAGGCCATACAGGATTACAATGTGATTGCCGCCCAGAAGCATCCAAACCCAAATCAATCACCCTTCAACAAACCTGCTGCCGCTCTATGGCATGAAAGGCTCTCCAGAAGTCAGGGACGTCAGTTTTGCGACCAGAAAAAACCCTGAGCCACGATGAGGCTCATAGCCTTCTATACTGCAGCCTGTGAGTATGGAACTCTTGTTAGTGAACTTGAACTCTTTCACACTGCAGCTTGCTGTGTTGCTCTGTCAAAGACAAAATTGTGTGAGAGATGTTACCTTCCGAGCTCTGTAGTCCTTCTAGCGCACTCTTGGAAAGAGATAGGTGCAACGTTTCCCGAAAATCATTTATCCCCACACAAAGCCCCCAAACATCTGAGCTACAGTCTAAATTCCTAGTATCCCCCATAATAGCCCCTATAGTAGTCCCCCATATAATCCCCTATATGGCCCCTTTAAGGAATTTAGACTGTAGCTCATCTGGGGCTTGCTGAGGCAGCAGACTGAACTCCCCTGTCGGTGTTGCTGCTGCTACTGCTGGAATGACTGCTCGGTGCCTGCCAGCATGGAAATAACTTAGGTGGACCCCCCACCCAGTAATAGTGACTGTAAGGGATAACAGGGATTATATATGGGTCCTCTTCTATTCTTATTATACCACTATTGCAGGGTGGGGGTCCTCCTAAGAAATAACAGTATCCCACATGGCATGTTAGCTGGTAAGGAACCCCCCCATGCCATATCTCCAAAATGCAGGGTCCTTGTGCTTTTGTCGTGTTTGAGGGCTGTAAGCTACACAAGGGTGAAAGGATATGAGAAGTACCACTTCACTCGCAATATTGAACCGCATGTGCTGAATGAAGAGCTGAAACGTGAAGCAGCGCTTCATGATTGTGGGTCACTTCAGAAGTGTTAGATACAGATGAAGGGCGATGTGCTGCAGCATTAAGGCATCAGCGCCGCCGCGAGACAGCATTTTGAACGTGGGAGTTGGAGCGTGGATCCCAGATGCTGTTGCGGCATCGGCAGTCGTTCGGTCGTAGGAAGCAAAGACGTAGTGAGGAGGGCGAGGAGCAGCAACTGGAGGAGAAAGAGGAGATTGACGAGCATGGATAACAAACACATAGTTCGTATCAAGCCATGCAGACATGCAAGAGAAGCAGTAAGCTTTCACGTGATCATTCAGGTGATGCATACTTGTGTTGTTGGGCGCCATCTGTCTTTGTTCATGTTACAGTACAGCTCTGACTGGCCTTGGGGTCCGACTAAGAAATCAAATTGATATGTCCCAACTTACAGGCACCCGTAAAGGATCCTGAATAATGTTGAACCTGCTTTAGTCTTGGGGGTCCCCCCCTGACAATAGGGCCCTCAGAAAAAAAGAAATTAAGGTCCCTCAATAAGGGCCCTTAGCGTCCCACGGTTCTGCCGTCCCTGTGGATTGATTTGAAAAGGAGAGTTGTGAATCTTTCCTGTATGTTTAGGGCCCCTAAATCAAAACACATTATAGCGGACCTCACATCATTACTCCTGATCCTGAATAAGAGGGCCCCGAGGAGCTCATTATGGCGGACCTCAAGGCAAAACCGGCTCCAACATTGTGGGGGCCAACCAAAATGCAGCAAGGGAACGTGCAAACAGCACGGCAAGACGACTAAAACATCTTGGAGAGGGAGCCCCCGCCACACTGAAGGTTCCTGCACGAAATAGCGGGATCTGATCCTTTGGACCCCGCGCCGTTGTTGTATCAATAGCGATACCTGAAAATCTTCTGCATTACCACAATTCCCAGCGGGGGGTATAAACCTTGACCCTCCCCTAGGAGCATGAAAGTATCCCATATAAGGAACCGTCCAATTACGCCCCAAAAGCGTAGTTGATCCCTAACGTGCACCAAGTAGAGAGGGTCATGAGAGATTATGTCCATACTGGCCTGAAGCCGAAGGGTCTTCACCTGGCTAAACGACACAGAACAGACCGCTTGTCGGGTTTGGGGTGGATGGGTTCTGAAATTTGTGCAAGTTGAATAGATTTAAGGCAGGCTTAGGCTTCCTGCAAGCCCCGTTTTGCTGTATTGAGAACCTCACTTTGGGGCTTGGGGCTGTTGTGTGCCTCCTATACTGCTTCATCTATCCAATATTCAAAGCCACCGGAACTGACCAACATCAATTGAAAGGAGAAGTTCAGTCCATGGGACAACATCAGGAACAGGGGTTGCAAGGCAACGGGAAGTTTACTGCCGGCACAGTTTCCTTCATCTCGTTTTGCTGGCCCTTCCCTCACACCAAGATTCGCCGTATCCATAGCAAGATGCATGACGTCATATAGGATGCAGTGGTGTTTGAGGTCTTGGAGTCTAAGTTCCTGATTTGTTCATGGAAAGGACCAAACAAAACTCTGACTGTTGGAGGGGCTTGGTGTACCTGTTGAACATCATGCAGTTCCATAGGTGATGCACGCAGTTTAGCATGCTCTCATCTATGTGAAACTCAATGCTGTGTCGTACTTCGACGACGTCAAATGGTCCACTGGCAAAATACAAATCCATTCCCATGGCAGGCTGCCAAGATCAATATAACAGTTAACATATTGGGATGGCTTGAGCTTCATGTATGACGAAAAACAGCCGAGCCCTTGACCGCCATGATAATCATCTAGAATCAACAGCCCTGAAACCTTCAAGCTCCCCCTTTACGAACATCCAATTCTGTAGCACCTGCTCCATAGCGTCCGCTGCCTGTGCCATGGCATTGACGGAGTTCGTTCAGGAGAGACTGTGTGTTTGCTGAACTGCACAAGGTGGTCCTTTGTGTGTTGAATGCAGGCTTCGCGGGGAGGCTCGCACTCGTTTGCGATCCGTTCTGTATGGCACTTAGCAACTTATGAACTGCTGCTCTTGACGTGGAATGCCTCACGACACCCGACAAATTAGACAGGCCAGCTCAATACCACCGACCACCCATTTTTCATGAAATACCTGAACCCCCCCCCCTCCCCCCCGCCCAACAGCGACATTTTCCATAGCGGCAGACAAAAAGATCCGCCCTGAAGCTCATCTTGCCTTATAAGTCGAACTAGAGTTCCAAATCATTTGCCGAATCAGTTGCCTCAAAGCCCTGAACCCTAGTCCCTACGGCCTTGTAAACTCCGTTAAGGTTTCTCAGAGGGGCAGCGGATATGCAGGGAGCATATGATTTTTTTGGCGGCCTTCTGAAAATCATGTAGGGATTGCTTTGACAACGTCCCATAACGTCCCAAGACCCGGAACCCTAAACTGCTTTGAGGGAACTCCGAAAACCACTTGCGGATGCAGGAGAAGGGCCTTGGCTTCGGCAAAGATGAAGGGATGCCTGCTCCTAGGAGAGTCCTGCATGGCTGATTAGGGTTTAGGGTTTAGGATTCAGGGTTTCAATGTCAAAGCAACAAACCTTTGTAGTTAATGAGAATTTTTAGATCTTTTAAATCTATTTTCTTCTATTTCCAAGGTTTATCGCCCAGCCAATTTTCCAGACCCATCCCTTGGACCAACCCCCCAGACTTCGTCACCCAGACCAATTTTCCAGACCCATCTCCTGACCTTACCCTCAGCCCTACTAGCACCTTCCAAGAGCTCCTGGACCTTCTTGGACCCTTTCTGCACCTCTTCTCAGACCCACCTCTTCCCACGGTGAACATTGTCCCGCCAGAGCACCAGAAAGCTTACAAGACCCAACATGAAAAAAAAAGAAATGCGCTCAGTTCAAATGATATGGGGGTTCCTAACAATTCGGCGTACCAGTTTAAAGGTCCCGATAATAAGGACAATGGTATTTATGGGTTTACACTGGGGTCCCCCTGTTCAGCGAACCTACCCTACAAACCCTAGCAGTAATTAGTAGCTTCCATGTCATTTTCCAT